AAGGTAGTCAACCCATACATTATTGAGGGACATAGAGTTCAAGAATGAAATAATATCTGGAAACCAAACCATAGCTAAACTGGAGTAAATGAATGCCATAATAGAAGCATGAGCAATGGTGGTGTTGAATGTATCTAACACAGTGAGGGGTTGTTTCTTTGAAACAGGAAGGAAATCATACTTGGATTCGAGTAAGTATAAAGTGTTTGTGTTGGCTGTTGATTTTCACGAGACCATGTTGGGATTAGAACAGGGTGCTATGTGCCTTCTTACACCTCTCCTCCCTGTGATGTCTGTCTCTCTCTGCTCCCCACCCTGCACCAGAGCATCCTGGCTCTGCTGACAGCCACAACAGGATTTGCATTTACTTCTTCCTTCCAATGGAAAATACAGTTTTGTTTAGGGATTAGGAATTAAATGGAACATAGAACCAGATAGAGAAAACGTTATTTTCCCAGAGTTTCAGAGCTCAGAGGGAGGCAGCCCAGCTTCATGGAGCCTTGCTCAGGGAAGCATGCAGGGCTGGTGTTTAGTAAGGAGATCTGCCTGCATGCTGGGGGTGGGGGTGTGTGTGAAGTGGGCAGTCACATGGGTGATGGCAGGAAGGGCAGCAGGGATGAGAGATCAGAACCATATCCATGACCCTGAATTCTTTGCTAAAGTGACCAGCATCCTTAGGAGTTTGTTTTTATTGCCTTTCTGCTGGGAGCCAGTGGAAAGGCAGCATCTGCCCAAACACAGTGAGATACAGAATGGAGGAGCCTGCAGAAGCAGGAGCAGAGGTAGGCATGGGGCCTCAGTCACGATCTCAGGGTGAAGGTGCTGATACTTGGAGCTGGCATCCTTAAACCTTCTCTGGGCAGGGAAGACTGCACTGAGGACACAGAGGTCAGGTTTAAAGTAGTATATTACTCAACAAAAAACAGGCTCAGATCTATAGAGGCAGAGAACAAACTGATGGTTGCCAGAGGGGAGGAGATAGGGGATGAGCAAAATGCATGAAAGGGAGTGGGAGACTCAGGCTTCCAGCTCTGGAATGAATAAGTTACTAGAATAAGAGGCACAGCATAGGGAATATAGTCAATGATACTGTGATAGTGCCGTATGGCAACAGGAGGGAGCTACACTTGTGGTGAGCACAGCAGAACGGTATATTTGGTCAAAGCACTATCTTGTACAGCTGAAACTAAGGTGACATTGTAATATTGTATGCCAACTATATTTTGTTAAAAGGGTGAAAAGATTTGTTAAAAAAAAATAAAAGATAAATAACTTGGGGGGCACCTGGATGGCTCAGTTGGTTAAGTGTCTGACTCCTGATTTTGGCTCAGGTCATGATCTCAGGGTTGTGAGTTTGAGCCCCGTGCTGGGCTCTGTGCTGGGTAGGAGTCTGCTTGAGATTCTCCACCCCCATCTCTCCCTCTGCCCTTCCCCTCCACCCCCGTGTCTCTCACTCTCTAAAAAAATAAAAAATAACATGGAATCTTCAAAAAAAAGAAAAAGTAGTGTGTCCAAATTTAGAAGGAAAACATCTTAGACCCTAATAGGTAAGAAAGACAAGCTTACATATAACTCTAGGGGAAGGGCAAATAATGAGTGAGACTTAACAAAAATGCCTAAATGAGGATAAGTCATGAAATAGGGGAGGGGTCTCTAGAGGAGTTTACCTAAATCCCCAAGTTCAAAGAGACATTATCTCTAACAGCGAAAAAGGAGATAACCATAGAGCATCAGTTATACCCTGGGGACAGAGGTAACACCTTCCATTCCCTTCTCTCCTACAAAATCGTCAACACAAGTGGCCCATGATCCAAGACAAATCCCATCCAAGTTCAGGCACAGGCCAGTGATGCATGAGGGGTGAGGAGTATCTGGCCCATGGGAATGAAAGTGTAATGCACCCTGGGGTCAGACTCCAAGTCAGTTCAGGGATGTGATTTTAGTGTGTGACCAGGGGCTCAAGCAGGGATTCAGCTCTGAAAGAAAACTGGCAGGACCCCCAGAAGAGGGTCAGATCCCAGCTGCCTGGAAGGGGAGGTAGGCAGTGCCAAGACACTGGGAAGCCTTAGGATGGGAAGAAGCCCCAAATGCCCACGTTTCCCAGGCAGCATGGATCTGACAGGCAGATGGGGAAGAGTTGGGAAGCTGCCATCTTCCCCTAACATCCTGTCAGGGACAGGACATGACATGCCATGTCGTCCTGTCCCTGATAGTATGAAAGGACGATATACTGAACTGATGTCCTGTAGGTGCTGTAACAAATTACCACAGACTTGATGGCTTAAAACAATAAAAACTTATTCTTACTTATTTCTGGAATCAGAAATCTAAAATCTAGGGGCAGCTGGGTGGTTCAGTCAGTTAAGCATCTACCTTCAGCTCAGGGCATGATCTCAGGGTCCTGGGATTGAGCCCTGTGTTGGGCTCTTTGCCCAGTGGGGAGCCTGCTTCCCCCTCTCTCTGCCTGATGCCCCTCCTGCTTGTACTCTCTCTTTCACTCTCTCTCTCTCTCTCACTCTCAAATAAATAAATAAATAAATAACCTTAAAAAAAAAAGAAATCTAAAATCTAGGCACAAGCAGGGCTCTAAGGAAGAATCCTTCCTTGCCTTTTCTAGCCTCTGATGGCTCTGTGAGTTCCTGTTTTCAGAAGACAAGATGAGGAATCAGGACAGTTTCAAAGAAGGAGAATGTTTTCCTGAATGCCTTAAACCTCAGAGGTTCAGAGCTAATTTTTTTAAAGATGACTTGACAACTTGTTCACCTTGGTTTCTGCCCTCAACAGGGGAGTAAACTTGACAGACAGAGACAGGTTAATTGAAATGTTCCCTTAGCATGCAAGCTGCTTGGGCAAAGATGGTATCCTTATAAACCGCAGGGATGTTTCATAAGTTTTGTGTTTTTGGTTTTTTTTTTTTCCTCCACTGTCAAAAGGAACTCAAAGCTGAATGTTTTTGTTTGTGATATAATGGCTGGGATAAAGGCTTTCTTTTAGAATAAAAACTATTGTTTTGAATCCCAGGAATTCTTTTTTTCTAAATATTTATTTATTTAAGAGAGAGGAAGAGCAGTGGGAGGGGCAGAGGGACAGGGAGACAGACTCCTGGCTAAGCAGAGAGCCTGACACGGGGCTTAATCTCATGATTCTGAGATCATAACCTGAGCTGAAATCAAGAGTCAGACACTTAACCAACAGAGCCACCCAGGCACCCCTAGGAATTCTTATTTAAGTCTCAGATACTGGCCCATAGAAATCCATTTATACAAGTTATAATGGCAACAGTATCTCCTGGACTGAAAAGAGGGGTAGGCTTCTGGCCCAACACCATGGATAAAGGGAGGAAAACAGGGAAACATGGCTAGAAAACATTTCTTATTTGTACTTTACAATCAAATCCCTCAGAATTTGTTGTGCATTGTTAATATTAATGTCTATAGCCTTTAAATTATTTTTTAAAAGTCCTATATGACATAATCTTGTTTTTATAGGGGACTTAGAGAGATCTGTGGAATCATTGGTGCACCTGCAAGGAATGAGTCATTCAATACCTTGTTTTACTAGATTGTATGTCCCACACCACAGGGGTTAGACAAATTTATCCCACTTTAAATGAATATTTTAAAACATCTGTTCAAGTTTTGTTTAGGAGAGGAGAATGACGTATGTGACAGGGCAGAGGAGGGGCTGCTGGTGGCAGCATCAAGCCTCCTCTGGGCCATCCTGAACAGTTCTGATCTGGCCCAAACTTACACTCAGTAACAGGATTCTTCAAGCTCATCACAATCCCTCCCAAATAGCTGATCGTCTCCTTTTTGTTAGAAGAACCTGCCCATTGGGGCCAAAATGAGTTCCTTCCTGGAATACAGAGAAGTAAATATATTCTTTCCATCTCTATCTTCTTACATTTCAAATTTCTCCAGCACCTGCCCCTCCAGCCTACCCAATCTGGCTCTGTAAAACACAGCACTGTAGTCTTTAGTCTTCCCACAGTTAATAATGATGGACTGTATTACATCAAATTGTCAAAGATTATCAATAGTCTATTAATGCATTTTCATGCATTTTTCTTTGCCTGGATTGATGGTTAAGAAATTTCTAGATTTGTTTCTTCTCTTTTACAAAATCAATGCCAACATTCATCTCATGATTAAAAATCACAGTTGGGGCCATAGCAAGTTAAGCTTTTTAACCCTTCAGGTTTAGCCAGAAGGTTTGAGAACCTCCTATATATTGAGCATTATGCTAGGGCTGTCCCCACATATAATCTCTTTATTGTTTTTCCTTGGGAGCTCCTCTTGTTCCTTGTATTTTAATCACAGAATCTATGACCCAATTTCTCTTATCTCTTATCACCTTTAGATTGCTTCCTAGGTAGAGGAGTGTGTGCCTTTCGGTATAAGAATAGTGTGTTCTGTGTGCCTCTATTCTATTCCCAAAGGTGCCTAGAAGATGATGGGGGAAAAGAAGAACTCAATACAGGCTTATTGAACACTTGACTAATGAATTTACCTGTGTCTTCTGTCAAGTGTGAGCACCCACAGCCCAGTATTTGTAATGCAGATCTTAATTTTTACCTCCTTGAATTTTTGTCCCCATTCTCATTGGGGCTACATAAAATGGGGTGAGAAGTAGAAAGGGATATGGAGCCAAAAAAGCCACTTGTGCATGATGAATTTTCTCAGGTGTAGTGCCTTCCTTACATAGAATCCCAAGGCAGGGAATTATGACAGGGTGGAAATGTTAGCAAATTTGATGTTGGGAGAATAGAGATCTAGACTTGTCTCTTCAATAATTGTTCCATAACTTAATCTTTCTCCACCTTTTTATCCACAAAATTCAAATAATCATAGCACATCACCTGTCTTGTGTTCTTGAGATCTCAAGTAAAACAGATGTGCAAACATGTCAGGAAGAATAAACTGTAATATGGATTGGATAGGATCATTGTTCTTGAGGTTACTCAGACCAATTACACAATTTGACCTGATTGGCATCTTCCTTGAAGCTACTTTCCTCCTCCAGCTTATGCACACCCCTTTTGGTGCCACCCCCAACACCAACAAGCATGTCTGGGCAAGAATTTAGCGGTCATGGGCTCAGTGCATTCCCCGTTCTCAGTGGTGACACATCAGTCTTTAAATTAATTCTACTTGGATTTGATATTTCAATTTTTTTCTCCTATTGAACTCCGGTTTCACATTCTAGAGATTGAGTTTATCTCTTCCAACCTTTCTCTTTTCTAAATTGAAAGAGAAAGGAGGAAGGCAAAAAGAAGTACACCTTAATCACAGTGACAGTGGATCACTTTCTCTTTCTTGCAGGCAAGTAGCAATGAATTAGAGTCTCAGGGCTAAACACACCTTGCTCTCCCAATCCACTAGGTACTTCTCTGCTTTCTTCACTCCTCTTGGTGGAGTCAATCAGCCTGTGGTGAGCCTAGTGGTGAAAGTGAGAGGAGTCCAAGAAGACAGTGGCCTAGATAATTCTCCTTCATTTTTTGAAAGCAAGTCTTTAAAGACCATCCCCATCTACTGGCCCCTTCCCTTAATCTCAAATCCTCACAGCCCCAAGGGTCTAGCATTTCGTAAAGACTCAATAAAATAGTAAGCAACATTTAAACCAATTTTTAGAAAAATGAAAATATGTACAGAGGATCTTCCAGAGATATGTGGATATTGTAGAGAGAAAACTCCCCAGTGAAAAGAATGGGTCAGGAGAAGCATTTCAGACAGTGAGGGTTGGTTAGGGAGGAGATATTTTGTGTGTGTGTGTGCCTATGTGTATTTGATGGGTATAACTTCAGATGCTTTTAGCTATAAAGAACAGATAACCTGAACTCAAAGTGGCTTGAACAATCAGGAGATCAGGAAGTTTGTTTCCTTGCATAATAAGTAATCCAGCAGTGAATCAGACTCCCAATCTGCTTCTTATGGTTCCTTCTGATCTGGTCTCCTTTGTGTGTTGACTTCATCCTCTTGGCATTAGCAAAACGGTCACAGCAGGTCCAGCCGTCAAATTCCAATAAACAATGCTAAGGGAAGAAATAATAAGCATAATTGTCCCAGGCTCTGCCGGCGCCCTTGCAGGTCTCCCAAGGGCACAGAAAGTAAGTTTTCCAATTCCCACAAACCGCCTTCTAGACAGAAGTCAGATGAAAGCAGAGAGAGCTATAGGCTTAGCTTATGGAAAACCATATCCTTAAGGATTTTTACGCCACTTTTGTGTGCAGAACTCAAACTGGAAGATTTCTCTGAGCAAACTCCACTGGGCACTATCCATGCACAGCTGTGTGACCTTCACCTGAACCTTTGCCATTCTGCTGACTTGCCTTACAAGTACCACTTTGGGGCTGGGTTTCTCACATGCACACACGTTTCTGAAATCTGAAATCCTCTTTAAATTTTCTGCTCAAGCCAATAAACTGAGGATCCAGTATAAAAGCTTTCCATTCTCGTAACACCAGCCCTATTGAGGACTTGTTCTTCCAAATTGTTTGGCTACTTATGAGATTGGCAGCCACACTGTGTTCCTACAAGACTTAACCACTTTGCATCAACTGCACAACTGGCCCCAATGACTGCAAAAATTGGTCATTAATAGGCTAAGAAACAATTTCAATGGGACGCCAGTCAATTTTGGGTCAGCAGGTTCATGTGGCCAAACCCTTGCCTGTTCTTCCCAAGCAATCTCCACCTCTGTGCTTTTCCCAATCCTCCTCCATGGTGTTGGGCAGGACAATATTCTAAAACACAGTTACAGTAACATCATTCACTCATCCCAAAGCCTTACATCACTTCTCTGCACCAACGGATTAAGTGCAAAATAGCTACTGGCATTACCCTCTTTTTGCTAGTTTTCCTCCTGAAATCTCTGCCCTGTGGCATCTCCACACTGTGCGCCAGTCACACCAAAGCAGCAGCTGTTACTATGTGGAGTACGCATGGGCATCCACACCTCTGCGTGTGCGCCCTGCTCTGGCCAGACATTCCCCCATCCGCGTCTCAGATCTGCTCGTTATCCTTAAGGCGACAGCTCTGAAGCTTTCTTTATTCTCATGGCCATCAATCCGTCAGCCCCTTTCCTGGGCCCCTGTGGGACTTTCAGGGACTCAAAGCCTGAACTGTAGTTATTTATGTACCCGTGTGTTCCCCTCACGACTATAGCGACTATTGGGTCTTATTCACCATTGTGGGCATGGGACTCAGCACAGTGACCAGCGATAAGGAGCTGCCCCAAAAATATTTAATAAGAAAAAGAAGGAAGGAGGACGGGAGGAAGGGAAAGAGAATGAAGGAATCTTCATTCATGTCAAGTCAACATGCTCTCCTAGATCCTAGTACTCTGTATCTTCCTCTCAAGTCTTATCTTTGGCCGAGAGTAAAAATTAAGGCTAAAGGTACTGAGGGTCACCTGGGTGACTCAGTCGGTTAAGGGTCTGAGTCTTGGTTTCAGCTCAGGTCATGATCTCAGGGTCATGAGATTGAGCCCCTCATAGGGCTCCCCACTCACCAGGGAGTCTGCTTAGGATTCTCTCTCTTCTTCTCCCTCCGCTCCTTCCCCTGTTCATGCTCTTTCTCGCTCTAAAATAATAAATAAATAAAATCTTAAAAAAAAAAAAAAGTCTAAAGATAATGAGACAACCCAAAAGGCAGCATCTGGAGGGTATCTAGCTGTCCCAGGCAGCTCTTCCAAAGCCAGCCTAAAGACAAGCAACAGCCTTCTCTTCTCTGTGGAACAGAGGCTTCTTACTCAGTAAATGTTTTATTGAGAATCTCTTCTCAGGCACCAAGGGTCACTGATATTTTTTAAAAGATGAACTAGACCCAGTCCTTGGTAGTCTCATCAAGTTCGGTTATCTCAGTCTTCTCCTCTGGATCCCTCAGATGCCAGATTCTTTCCTCACATCATTAACTCCTCCTGCTTGTTAGCTCTCGGTTGTTTCTGAACTCCGGATGTCACTGCTCAAGGTCTGGAGAATGCCCCTGTTTTCACACCACGCTGAACCTGAATACAGAAGTCAAATGATCAGCCCCTTGTTAGTGTTCTTTTTGTTTATCCTCCCAAGTCTGCTTCTTCAAGTGTTCTCTCTCTCTCTCTGCCCTTTCTCAGATGCCAGTTGTAGGTTTATTAGACTTTTTTACTGGTCCCAAAGGCACTCTCATGCTCTTCTGTACTTTCCCATCCTTTCTGGTCCCACACGTCAGTCTGGATGGTTCCTTCTGACCTGTTGCCTAGCTCGCTAATCCTAGCCCCCACAGCATCCTACCTGTAGCTCACCCCTTTAATACATACATTTCAGTGATTTATTTTTTAGTTTAAGAATTTTTATGTGATTCCTTTTCATAAGTTCTAGTTTTTTGGCTGAACTTCTCCTCTCCCCTCTCCCCATCATCTACTTTTTACACTGCTTAATCTGTGTTTGATAACTTCAAAATCGACACCACTGTTCTCGTTATCACTGCTGCATAACAACCCACCCCCCAAAAACGTAGTTGCACAAAGCATCCCCTTGGCTGGAATCATTTAGAAATATCTTCACTCGTGTCTGTCAATGGACGCTGGCTGTTGGCTAGAGCATCTTCAAATACTTTCTCAAAATGGCCTAGGCTTCCTGATGGTATGGCCATCCCAAGGCGTTACACTTCTTACATGGTATTGCTTTAGATGCTAAGCAGAGATCCAGGGTGGGCGGGGGGGAAGAGTGTGGGGAGAGCAAGCAGAAGGTCACTGCATCAAAGTGAAATTTCAGCATCTGAAATGCCAGTGTTTAAACGTGGTAAGGACATATGGGAACTCATCCACCCCTGCCAATCTGCAAAATAGCAGAAGATCGTATTATAATGATAATTACATATATGATACCATGATAATTAACATGTTTGAGAGATTTGTTGAGTGCCATCAAGTCTAACGTTTCTTCAAAATATCTATCATTATCCTCACCTTATAGATGGGAAAACTGAGGCCAGAGAGGTTCAGCAGCTTGGCCAAGGGCACCCAGCAAGTGGCAGAGCCTGAATTCAAACCCAGGTGGTTATATGCCAGAGGCCACTCTTCAAAACTCTTATGTACAACACAATGGCCAGATGTACACGGTCTCCCATTTTCTGTGCATATCCTGGCTAAACGCCAATGGCAGAAGTTAATGAGAGCAAAATGCAGTCATTATGTTTAGACCAGAAGAGGTCGAGTGGAAGCCAGGCTTCAGCATCATTTATCAACATCAAGGGCCTCAGCAGATGTTGCAGTGGGAAGAGGCTGGGTTTGAATTTGGATTACTCACAAGATCTGGTTTAGGTCTAGGCTCCATCCTTGCTTCTGCGTGAGCCTCAACACACCATTTAACCTCTAGGTGCAGTTTTTGCATTCTAAAATGAAGATCCTAGCACTTTAACTGAATGACAGACTTAACTTCAGGGCTGTGGGGTTGGAGGGATAGAGAGTGAGTGAGCAGATGGGCCCGTCACTGCTGGGACAGATGAGAGAGGTGGCAGCAACCAGTAGAGGAAGACAACATTCAGACCAGACCCCTCTGACCATGGACGATACCAAAATAGGAAATTTAGTGACTTGTATGTGAAGAGGGTGCGAGAGCCACAAGAACCTCCCACACAGGGGCCAAGGACAAAATGACAATGGGGCAAGTTAACCTGCTCTTCCCCTTCCAGGTGCTCACTCGGGGTGGAGGTCAAGGTCCAAAAGTGGGCTTCCCTTCCCCTCCCAATCCACCCCTCCTTCCACTACCTGGTCCTCAGGGTGGGGGTTTCAGCAGTCCCCGGTGGAGAGCGAGAGAGGATGAGGCAGCCAGAAGCGACAGGAGAGGGGAGGGAGAGGCAGGTGGGACCCTGGGTCAGCGGACACTCCGGGCTCCAGCGCAGGCTCCGATGATCCATCAACCGTCAGCTGTAAAACAAAATAATTAAAAGATACAATTACTAAGACTTTACAGTCCGTGCCGGCAGAGCCTTGATCACCAAGCCCAGGCAGGCTGGGGGCAGGGCCCCATAAGACTATGTTGCTCTCGGGCGCCCTGCAAGGCTGGCTTGGCTGCTGGGAGTGGGCTTGGTGCAGCCCCCAACCTGTTCTAAAGCAGCATTCAAGCCAAGTCTCAGTGTACAAACAACGTTGATTAGGTTGCCAGCCTCCCAGCTTCTGTTCAGCCTCCTTGTCCCTCCCTTTGTAGGGAGACCTGGATAGTCCTTCCATGCATTGCTTTTTGCTGACCACTACCCTTTTGGGAGGAAGTGTTTGGCGCTGATGTTCTAGGGCTGAAGGCATTATGCTAAATGAAAATCAACACTAATAAATCCTGCCTTAGGCACTGGGGTCACACGCTGGCTTTAGGGAGCCATTTACATCTGTCTGTTTTTTCTACCGAGGGTTGCAGTGGCAAAGTAACATTATTCAGGTGCCACGGTGTTTGATGTGCGGTTTATTAGACACAGGATTGCTGAAAAACATTAGCCTCTAGTCAGCTTTAACTCCCGTGCTGCCATCCAGCTGTTGGTAACTTCCCCTTCAGGGAGTCCCTCATTTAGACAGGTCCATTTTTTAATTAAAAAAAAAACATTTTTAGTCCTGATTCATTGTTAAAAATGGTTCCTCAAAATAAATTTCCATAGAAGTGGGTTGCATTTTTCCAGTTATAAGAAGAAACTTGTATTTGACTGTAGGTGCAGCAAATGACACATATTATAGTTTAGAAGCACAGACACATCGCATCTTGTATGAAACTGCATGGTTACCTTTAATAGAACTGTGAGCTTCCACAGTTTAAATTCTGTAAATATTGCCTGAGAGTAATTTCTTCTTTTTATTTTTTTTTTAATAAACATATATTTTTATCCCCAGGGGTACAGGTCTGTGAGTCGCCAGGTTTACACACTTCACAGCACTCACCATAGTACATACCCTCCCCAATGTCCATAACCCCACCCCCCTCTCCCAAACCCCCTCCCCCCATCAACCCTCAGTTTGTTTTGTGAGATTAAGAGTCACTTATGGTTTGTCTCCCTCCCAATCCCATCTTGTTTCATTTACTCTTCTCCTACCCCCTTAACCCCCCATGTTGCATCTCCTCTCCCTCATATCAGGAAGATCATATGATAGTTGTCTTTCTCCGATTGACTTATTTTGCTAAGCATGATACCCTCTAGTTCCATCCACGTCGTCGCAAATGGCAAGATTTCATTTCTTTTGATGGCTGCATAGTATTCCATTGTGTATATATACCACATCTTCTTTATCCATTCGTCTGTTGATGGACATCTAGGTTCTTTCCATAGTTTGGCTATTGTAGACATTGCTGCTATAAACATTCGGGTGCACGTGTCCCCTCGGATCACTACGTTTGTATCTTTAGGGTAAATACCCAGCAGTGCAATTGCTGGGTCATAGGGTAGTTCTATTTTCAACATCTTGAGGAACCTCCATGCTGTTTTCCAGAGTGGTTGCACCAGCTTGCATTCCCACCAACAGTGTAGGAGGGTTCCCCTTTCTCCGCATCCTCGCCAGCATCTGTCATTTCCTGACTTGTTAATTTTAGCCATTCTGACTGGTGTGAGGTGATATCTCATTGTGGTTTTGATTTGTATTTCCCTGATGCCGAGTGATATGGAGCACTTTTTCATGTGTCTGTTGGCCATCTGGATGTCTTCTTTGCAGAAATGTCTGTTCATGTCCTCTGCCCATTTCTTGATTGGATTATTTGTTCTTTGGGTGTTGAGTTTGCTAAGTTCTTTATAGATTCTGGACACTAGCCCTTTATCTGATATGTCATTTGTAAATATCTTCTCCCATTCTGTCAGTTGTCTTTTGGTTTTGTTAACTGTTTCCTTTGCTGTGCAAAAGCTTTTGATTTGATGAAATCCCAATAGTTCATTTTTGCCCTTGCTTCCCTTGCCTTTGGTGATGTTTCTAGGAAGATGTTGCTGCGGCTGAGGTCGAAGAGGTTGCTGCCTGTGTTCTCCTCAAGGATTTTGATGGATTCCTTTCTCACATTGAGGTCCTTCATCCATTTGGAGTCTATTTTCGTGTGTGGTGTAAGGAAATGATCCAATTTCATTTTTCTGCATGTGGCTGTCCAATTTTCCCAACACCATTTATTGAAGAGGCTGTCTTTTTTCCATTGGACATTCTTTCCTGCTTTGTCGAAGATTAGTTGACCATAGAGTTGAGGGTCTATTTCTGGGCTCTCTATTCTGTTCCATTGATCGATGTGTCTGTTTTTGTGCCAGTACCATGCTGTCTTGATGATGACAGCTTTGTAATAGAGCTTGAAGTCCGGAATTGTGATGCCACCAACTTTGGCTTTCTTTTTCAATATTCCTTTGGCTATTCGAGGTCTTTTCCTGTTCCATATAAATTTTAGGATTATTTGTTCCATTTCTTTGGAAAAAATGGATGGTACTTTGATAGGAATTGCATTAAATGTGTAGATTGCTTTAGGTAGCATAGACATTTTCACAATATTTATTCTTCCAATCCAGGAGCATGGATGGAACATTTTTCCATTTCTTTGTGTCTTCCTCAATTTCTTTCATGAGTACTTTATAGTTTTCTGTGTATAGATTTTTAGTCTCTTTGGTTAGGTTTATTCCTAGGTATCTTATAGTTTTGGATGCAATTGTAAATGGGATTGACTCCTTAATTTCTCTTTCTTCTGTCTTGTTGTTGGTGTAGAGAAATGCAACTGATTTCTGTGCATTGATTTTATATCCTGACACTTTACTGAATTCCTGTACAAGTTCTAGCAGTTTTGGGGTGGAGTCTTTTGGGTTTTCCACATATAGTATCATATCATCTGCGAAGAGTGATAGTTTGACTTCTTCTTTGCCGATTTGGATGCCTTTAATTTCCTTTTGTTGTCTGATTGCTGAGGCTAGGACTTCTAGTACTATGTTGAATAGCAGTGGTGATAACGGACATCCCTGCCATGTTCCTGACCTTAGCGGAAAAGTTTTCAGTTTTTCTCCATTGAGAATGATATTTGCGGTGGGTTTTTCATAGATGGCATTGATAATATTGAGGTATGTGCCCTCTATCCCTACACTTTGAAGAGTTTTGATCAGGAAGGAATGCTGTACTTTGTCAAATGCTTTTTCAGCATCTATGGAGAGTATCATATGGTTCTTGTTCTTTCTTTTATTAATGTGTTGTATCACATTGATTGATTTGCAGATGTTGAACCAACCTTGCAGCCCTGGAATAAATCCCACTTGGTCGTGGTGAATAATCCTTTTAATGTACTGTTGAATCCTATTGGCTAGTATTTTGGTGAGAATTTTCGCATCTGTGCTCATCAAGGATATTGGTCAGTAGTTCTCTTTTTTGATGGGATCCTTGTCTGGTTTTGGGATCAAGGAGATGCTGGCCTCATAAAATGAGTTTGGAAGTTTTCCTTCCATTTCTATTTTTTGGAACAGTTTCAGGAGGATAGGAATTAGTTCTTCTTTAAATGTTTAGTAGAATTCCCCTGGGAAGCCGTCTGGCCCTGGGCTTTTGTTTGTTTGGAGATTTTTGATGACTGTTTCAATCTCCTTCCTGGGTATGGGTCTGTTCAGGCTTTCTATTTCTTCCTGGTTCAGTTGTGGTAGTTTATATGTCTCTAGGAATGCATCCATTTCTTCCAGATTGTCAAATTTGTTGGCGTAGAGTTGCTCATAGTATGTTCTTATAATTGTCTGTATTTCTTTGGTGTTAGTTGTGATCTCTCCTCTTCCATTCATGATTTTATTTATTTGGGTCCTTTCTCTTTTCTTTTTGATAAGTCTGGCCAGGGATTTATCAATCTTATTAATTCTTTCAAAGAACCAGCTCCTAGTTTCGTTAATTTGTTCTATTGTTCTTTTGGTTTCTATTTCATTGATTTCTGCTCTGATCTTTATGATTTCTCTTCTCCTGCTGGGTTTAGGGTTTCTTTCTTGTTCTTTCTCCAGCTCCTTTAGGTGTAGGGTTAGGTTGTGTACCTGAGACCTTTCTTGTTTCTTGAGAAAGGCTTGTACCCCTATATATTTTCTTCTCAGGACTGCCTTTGTTGTGTCCCACAGATTTTGAACCGTTGTATTTTCATTATCATTTGTTTCCATGAATTTTTTCAATTCTTCTTTAATTTCCTGGTTGACCCATTCATTCTTTAGAAGGATGCTGTTTAGTCTCCATGTATTTGGGTTCTTTCCAAATTTCCTCTTGTGATTGAGTTCTAGCTTCAGAGCATTGTGGTCTGAAAATATGCAGGGAATGATCCCAATCTTTTGATACCGGTTGAGACCTGATTTAGGACCGAGGATGTGATCTATTCTGGAGAATGTTCCATGTGCACTAGAGAAGAATGTGTATTCTGTTGCTTTGGGATGAAATGTTCTGAATATATCTGTGATATCCATCTGGTCCCGTGTGTCATTTAAGGCCTTTATTTCCTTGTTGATCTTTTGCTTGGATGATCTGTCCATTTCAGTGAGGGGAGTGTTAAAGTCCCCTACGATTATTGTATTATTGTTGATGTGTTTCTTTGATTTTGTTATTAATTGGTTTATATAGTTGGCTGCTCCCACGTTAGGGGCATAGATATTTAAAATTGTTAGATCTTCTTGTTGGACAGATCCTTTGAGTATGATATAGTGTCCTTCCTCATCCTAAGAGTAATTTCTTATGCATTGTATATTTTATCTAAAATTACAAAGTTGGCTCTGAGCTATATTATTTAAATTCTTAATTAATAGAACTGGGGAGGTTCATTTTATTTTTTTCTTTGTTGATATTATTAACATAGAACATATGTAAGCTTTAGGTGCACAATATGATGATTTCATACAGATGCATATTGTGATTTGATTACTAAGACTATTTTAATTAATAAAATTACTTGGATAATTCAAATATGTTTTAAAAATTACACATTCAAG